AGGATGAAGAGGAGGAGGAGGAGGAGGAGGAGGAGGCAGAGGGGGAACAGGACGATGAAGAGGAGGAGGAGGAGGAGGAGGAGGAGGAATGCCCTAGGAGGCCCAAAGGAGGTCCCGGGAGACCCAGGAAGCTCCAGGAAGCCCCAAGAGGCCCAAGGAGGCCCCAGGAGGCCCCAAGAACAGGCAGGAAGCCTAAGGAGGAGGTGGGAGGAGTTGGAAGAGGAGGAGGAGGAGGAGGAGGAAGAGAAGGATGAGGAGGAAGAGGAGGAAGAGGAGGAGGAGGAGAAGGATGAGGGGGACTAGGAGGAGGGGGACTAGGAGGAGGGGGAGAAATGGAGACGAGGAGGAGGAGGCGGACGAGCGAGAGGGGAGGAAGAGGAGGAAGAGGAGGAGGAGGAGGAGGCAGAGGAGGGAGAGGGAGAGGGAAAGGAGGAGGAAGAAGAAACAGAGGAGGAGGTGGTAGAGGAGCCAAAAGGAGGGGCAGGGGTTGAGGCAGGAGGAGAAGCAGGCAGGAGGAGAAGGACAAGGCAGGACTAGGTGGAAAAAGAGAGGGGGCAGGAGGGTATCCCCAGGCAAATTAAACAAATTCTCGTGTGGGGTCCTACCGCCGGAATAAATTAAAAGTGTTCGCGACATTCGATATTGAAACCCCTACGAAACCCAAGGTTGTAAAAAAAAATCCGGCATGCGCGCGCCACGACGTGCGCGCGCGCACTTCGTCCCATCTGTTGCAAGGGATTATTGATAACGGAAAAGTTTTGATAACCGACTGCGCGCGTATAGAAGTTTCTGCAAAAAGGCAGGGACAAATACGCTACGACTTGATATTTGAAATGGACGACGGCACACAAACGTACGCAAAGTGCAATACGAAGTGGGCGAAGGTTAAATCCGGGGGGGTAAACCCGAGTACCCTTTGTAGGCATGAAACGTTTGCAATCGATATATATATATATATATGCATACATGCATACATGCATACATGCATACATGCATAATATCATGCATACATGCATACACATACGTATGTGATGCAGCCTACGCGGTGCAATGACATTGTGAAAACTTGTAATTTCCAAATCCATGGTTCGCGCAATCACCCCAGCTTGTGGGATTGCAGATACCATGCGGCAGCGATTGCGATGATTGTTCCGCAGTGGATGGCGCATCTCTACGGCCGCGCTGACGCGCGCATGGTCGCACCCACATGCTAACTCGTTCGGCACAACCGACGCGGCCGCGGTGGTGCCCACCAATGTGGATTCCCCAGCGCGTCTCACACGCCGAACTGGCGCGCGGGCACTTCAATGCGAGTGGGTGACTCGAGCGGGCGCGGTGGCAAGGTGACGTCGACAACGCCCGAAACACGGATGGTGGTGACGATGATGGTGACGATGGTGACGATGACGACGGTAAGGCATATGACGGCGCCGATGCTGGTCACGCCGATGGCGGTGGTGTTCATGCTTCCGCGACGAAGGTTTTGGAAGGATTTCGACCTGCGCGGGCGGCCGACGCGAAACAGTGGCCCGCATAGAATTGTGTGACACTGGTCGTACCCGCCACCCCAAACCCCTAACAAACGCGCATGGGCGTTATAATGATTCCGACACGTGCGCGCGAGAGGCTCGCTTGACCGCGTGTGATGAATCAGGTTGGAAACTTCCAGTGTTCATGGGAATCCTCAAGAGCGCGCGCGCAAATTTGCTCAAGAAAACCAGGTTACAATCCCGAGAAAACTGTACGAAACCTCAGGTTGATGATGGATTCGGGCATGCGCGCGCGACGCCGCGCGCGTGGATTTTGTCAGATTAACTATGTGCAAGGGATTCTTGGACACTGATAATGTTTGGTAAACGGGCGCCCGCATGCTGTTAGTTGACGAGGATGAAGGTGGGTCGATACCGACTTGGCTGGGACGCTATGGAAGTATGGATTCAAATAGAAAATGAGCAATGGGGCAGCATCGCATGTGAATTGCATTGCCCCAGGGGTAGTCGCTTACTCCAGCCGTATCCACGTGGTGCAATCTACGTGGTACTACAAATGTGGCGCGATCGACGCGGTGCAACTCACCCGGCCGAACTTGACGTTGTCAACTCCACTGCTCGCGCAATTATCCCACCCACCCACCCACAACTTGGTTTGCTAAACACATGTGGCGGCGATTGCGATGACTGCTCGGAGCTGGTTGGCGCATCGCCGCGGCCGCGCTAGCGCGCAGGCTCGCGCGCAGAACGGCCAGCTAGTCTGACGCGACCGACGCGTAGTCTGACGCGACCGACGCGGCCGCGGTGGCGCTGACCGATGGGGGCTTTCCAACACGTCTCGCAGGCCGGGCTGACGCGTGCATTTCAATGCGAATCGGTGATCCGGGCGTGCGCGGTATCATGGCGACGTCGACAACGGCAGTCACGATGATGATAGTAGCGATGCTGGTGTCCATGGTGCCAAGTATGACGACAAGAGAAATGACGGCGCCGCTGCTGATCAAGCCAACGAAAATGATGGTAACCTCGCGTCGGTGATGAAGGTTGCAGTTCGGATTTCGACATGCGCGCACCGCCGACGCGCGCGAGCGGCCCGCATGGTATTGTTCGGCAGTGAGCGTGCCCCCCAGCAAGCGTTCAATAGCGTTCGACTGGTTTCGTCTCGCCCGCCTAATCGCATGTGATGAACAGTTTGAGAATTATGGCTTTCTTAAGAAAACGCAAGACCGCGAGCGCAGGTATTCTTGAACATCCTGGTTGCAAAACCAGTGTCTTTTATATGTCTTCGGAACTCCCGATGTTGAACTCTGTGCGGAATTTCAAGCTTTTGAAGGATTTCGGCATGCGTGCGCGACGACGCGCGCGTGTGCACTTCGCCCCATATGTTGCCAAGGATGTTTGCGACAACACGCGCGCAAGGGCGTTCGAATGATCTCCACATACGCGCGAAAAGGTAAATTCGTTAGCATGTGATGACCACGTTGAAGAGATGCTTGTCTGGAAAAATCGCAAGAGCGCGAGCACAGGTTTTTGGGGGACTATTCCTGTTCTGGGGCACTCGATTGTCAAATCAGTTCGAAGCCTAAAATGTTTGAAAGATTTCGGCCTGCGTCCACGACGACCGCCTCTCTGCGTGTGGCTGTCCAATCGCCCACTCATTGCAGATAGGGGCCCGATAGCCCACCGCGCCGAGAAACGTGCTGGCTCGCCACCAAAAGCCTGTCACCAATCTATCTGCTATGTCGCCGATTCCCCCCCTGAGCCGGTCCCCTTGTGGGTTTTGTTCTGGGCCACGACTCGGGGCTTCGGTGGCCGTTCGGGGCGATGCGGGCACCCCTGGAACGCTGTCGGCGAAGCGCGGCTGCTGGAGAGCATCCCGCCGGTGGAAAACTGACGAGATCCGACGGAAACGTAATTAGAAAAGCCTCGAGCCTTGGACCCCAAACGTCCCCCCCCAAACGCTCCCCCTCAGGAGGTCGCGAATGTCGCCCGAGCGCCGGACCGTCGGCGCTACGGCGGCGGCTGCTTGCGGCCCGGCGGCGACCGCGGCGACGCCAGCCGCCCCGCGAGGCGCGCGACCGCCCTGCGTCGTGGCAGGGCCCAGTGGACAACAGGAGGGTGTGGACCAACTCTTCTTGCCTCTCCTCCTCCTCCTCCTCCTCTTCGTCCCCACTTTTGTGTGCATGGTGTTGCTCCTCGCGTTCCCAATTGCTCACCCTCGTGCTCATGGGGATGAATTTCATGGTGGGTTGGCTGCAGGGCGTGCACGCGCTCGTTGCGACCATGGACACACGCACGAAGCCCGAAACGTGTTTTGTCGTCCTGGGGCGCGTCGACATGGTGGGCTTTGGTGTCATAGTGTACGTGTCGTTTTCTTCCTCGCATGCTTTACCCATCCTTCTGAAAGTCGTACACATCGTCGTTCAGTGCATCTTGGCCGACCGCGGCGCGTGGCTGCGGGTATTTGTGGCGAGCGCTCGCCAAGCCCGCCCCACGACCCCTGCCTGTCGGCAGGGGGCAGGAAGGCTTGTTTTGCTGACTATGGGGTTTTACACTGTCGCGCGGAAGCGGTCCAGGCCCTGGTTTCTTTTTCGTCATGGCATGGTGTTGTAGATTTTCGATGCATGTGAGCGGTGCTGTCTTCCCGTTGGCTGTGGGCCCCGTGGGCACCTGTGGGTGGCGGCTGGGCGGTATTCTTCCTCATGTACCTGGGAAGGCTGTTTTCAACTCGGCTGCGCAAATCTTCAAAGTTATCGGTATTGGCGGCGTTGGTTGACATCCTGTGGGACGTGACGCTATTGGTCTTTGGTCACTGTTCGGAGTCTTGTCATCCAATGTCTTGGAATCAGACGTGCTCCTGGTCGACTGCGACACGCTGGCGTCTCCGATCTGAATGTCGTATGTGCGCACAGTCGCGCAGTCGGTCACCACATGATCACCGCACATACAGTCAAAACGTATATGAAGGACGGGTGGTAAGGACGCAAGACCCTTGGAGGCCGAAGTTGGGTTTTTTAGGGCGGCGGCCGACCAGTGATAATGGCAAGGACGAGCCTCAGAGGCAAGGACACAAGGGTACCCTAGATGAAGGCGCGCGTCCTTACTGGGCGCGTTGACTGTACGTCCTCTCTCTTCCTCTCTCTCTCTCTCTCTATCTCTCTTTCGCAGCGTTCCTCAGCGATCCCTCTCCAGAGCTGCGCCGCGCCGCACGCGCGCGAACGAACAACGCGAGCGCGCACCCTTAGCACCCTTGGACGCCGCCGAGGTGCAGTATCCGTGCTCCGAGGAGGGGGAGAAAAGAACAGGCCACCTTGCCATCTCGCCTCACTCACCGCAGCCAGTGGAGAGGAGGAGGGGGGGCAAGGCTGTCCCACAGTTCCTACAGCGCTAAATCAAGTAAACGTAGTAAACGGTGCCGAACGATGTATGTGCACACCATCTCCGCAGCGCCCTGGTGCGTAATCCTCTCCTGTTTCAGGCCGGCCAGTCTCGCCTTGCGTTTGACGGCGCCATCTGGTCGTAGGCCATATCGAAGTCCGCCTCAACACCGAGGACGAGCTCGAAGTAGGCGGCTACGCCTGGCTGCACGTCGGTGGCTGCTGCCAGGTCCTACATGTTTTGGAACCCCCTGTCGATGAGCATCGGGTCCCATCACTTGCGTCTGCGAGCCACCTGCTGGGACGCAAGCCCAAGCGCGTGCTTGGTAATGAAGCCGACGGGCCTCGGGCAAATTGTCATGACCCGGATGTACTCCGACCCTGCCTTGGATACCCATCGGCCTGCTGCCTGACTGTCAGGCCCTGGTGCACCTTCCCGCCCGTTCCGTGAAGCTGGACAAAGCCAGGGGCACAGGCCACGACCTCTCGGCCACGAGGCTTCCGGCGGCATGCTCCTTTCGGTGCGGCTGGCTGTCCTTCCTCTCGGGAGCGCCCAGTAGGGACAACGCAAAACTATGCAGGAACGGCGGCTCCAAGCTCCAGGAGCACAGCGGCGCCTTTGGCGGCGAGGGGCACCTCGGCGAGACCATCAGCCCCTCGAGTGGGGAGCGTCAGCAGTTTGGCCGACGTCCGAAAAGGGAAAACGTCCAGGAGGGGGGCGTCCAAGAGGGTGATTCGCACGCGAGATGTTGGCTCGCAGAAAATCGCCCGAAGCACGTGCGCAGCCCAGAAAGGAACGTAGTGGAACAAGAAGGAAGTGCCGTGAGATCTTGGGAGTGCGGCCCCCGCCATGACATCTACACCTCACCCCCCTCCCGGCCGCCCCCGAAGGAACACCAAGCCGGATCAAGGTGGAGAAAGCACGCTATCAAGCCCGATTCGGCCAGATCAAGCGGGCTTCATCAACCCGAACACAGCTCACCCGTATAATGAGGACGCACGATACGGATGCAAGGGTCTTGGACAGGCCATGTCGACACTGGGCGAGTGGGGCACGGCCAGCGACAGCGGCCATGGATGGGCCGAAGGGGAAGGATGCAAAGGTAACCTTGGGAGGCCATTCATCCTTACTATGCGGGGTGGCTGCGCCAGCTGACCTACCACAATACATGAATTCCCCGCATAGCTCGGACCTCCCGCCGCGAGCGCCGCCACCCCAAAAATGGCCCGCGGGACCACGCGTCTGGGGCTAGCGCCCCTCCCTTCAAGCTCCCTCTTGATAGGCCCCCACAACGGTGCATTTCCACTGGGGGAGGCAACCGTTTGAAGACCCTGAAGCATGCCAAAACATTTGTCTCGGGATTCCAACGCCACGGATCAACGTGACTCTTGCGAATTGACGATCCTGAACCGTGTCAAAACGCCATTCCTGGGACTTCGACACTGCGAATCAACGTAACTGTTGCGTCCTCACAATCCTGAATCTTTCCAAACTGAATTTCTGGCACGCTGAACATGGGAATCCGTGGCACTCTTGCAAATGTGCAAAACGAATGTGCGCGGCGCTAAGGCGAGAGCAACATCTTGAAAAGGAAACGCCCTCAATTCGTGAAGCGCCTGCAATTGTTTTTGTTAACGAATGTGCGCGGCGCTACTGCGAGAGCCACATGTTGAAAACCACCCACCCTTAATCCGTGAAACACTTGCAATGTTTAAGACGATTGTGCGCGGCGCTAAAGCAAAAGACGTATTCTGGAAACCACCCGCCACTGCAAGCGCTTAGAGCGAATGCGCGCGGCTCTGAGGCGAGAGCCGCATGTTTAAAACGACCCACCCTCCATATATGTAAAGCTGCTGTCATATTTCCAGCCTCAGGGTCATAAGTGGTGAGGAAATCTCAGGCGAAACGCCAGGCACGCCCCCCAAAACTGGCGTCGGGGCGGTTCTCCGGTTGGCGGCGGCGGCGGCGGCAGTCTGCTGCCCGGCGAAGAGGGCGGCGTGGCCGCCCGCCCCTCGAGGCGAGCGGCGAAGCGAGCCGCCCTTCGGCGGGGCGCCTGCGCGCCGGCAGCCCGAACGTCACCGCGGCGACGACGCCGCGTCGGCGGCGGCCTGGGTGGCCTCGGGCGTGCTCCCCCCGAGCATCGCTCAATCGATCCCTCCTCGGCCTCAGCCTCCTCCTCGGCCTCCTCCTCCTCCTCCTCCTCCTCCTCCTCCTCCTCCTCCTCCTCCTCCTCCGCCTCCTCCTGCCTCTGCATCCTCCTCCTCCGCCTCCTCCTCCTCCTTGCGTGGCTTTGGCCCCACCTTTCGATATACCACCCTGGATGGGGATATTTGCTGTTTCCTTTGGGTTTCGAAGGGCATATTCCTAACTGGGGTGGTGGGATGGTGGGGCTCGGGGTGGGGATGGGGATGGGATGTGGGATCGGTTCATCGACGCTGACTCCCTCGCGGCCCCCTCCATTCCCCCTGGGATCCAGGCGCTGCAATTTCTCACAAGAGGCGATATGTAGCCAGGTTCCGAGCCCTGGGGCCATCACGGATCTCTGGTTCCGAAAAAACTGCAGAAGAATGCACTCGAGGGTTCTAGTCGTGACTTGTTTCGATGTTGTCATTGTTCGCAACATCGGATCTCAGAGTCTGCGGAGGCACCCGGGTCACTGGCCAGGGCTCGTTGCATACACTACTTTAATCCAGTCGGCCAAGGAGCTTGGCGTATAGACTAAAGACGCCCCAGTTTGTCAAGTTGCGGGGAGCAGGAGCCTGTACACCGAGTTCACTCGCCGAGTTCTGCGGGTTCGGTGTGGTGGTATGTACATCGAACCCCTCCGACTCAAGGGCCCGCCCAGGAAGGAGGAGGCGAGGGAGGAGAGGGAGGAGAAGGAGGAGGAGGAGGAGGAGAAGGATTTGTCACCTGAAGGCTTCAACAACCGTGCTCTGTCCCCGCGCTGGGGCCTTAAGGCAGGGAGAACGTGGCGAACCCAGCCCGCTATAAGAAACAACCTCAGCCAGTACAGCGAGGCGACGAGGGCGGGGATGCGCACAGCGAGTGTGTCGGTGGTCCCGAAGGGAGACAACGACCCAGAGACCACACCGAAGACCATGGTCAACTGCACCATACACCTGCCTCGCTTGCCGAAAGGGGAAACCAGCATGCAATCTAGTCCGACCCCAGCGGTGGCAACCCCAGGGAACAAACAAGGACAGGGGCCCCGGGACCGACACGGGCAGCAAGCGGGACCAGGCCAGCCTGAGCACGACTTCACCTCGGCGAGCGCCGCTGTGGGGCGGCGGTTTCGCCTTTTTCATGTCGGAGCGCCCACGATGGCCGCCTCCCCTCACGGATCGACCCTTGGCTCGGCCGTGCGGCACAAGTCAAACACTCATCGAGGAGTGCTGACAAAAAGGGGGAGCACGAGGCCCCCGCCAAAAGACACCAAGCACTTTCCCCCCGGGCCAGCCACGAAACCCTAGCGGGTGCTGTCCTGGAGTGCCTGACACACGTGCCACCCGAGCAGCACACAACACACGTGCGACGCGCGTGCCCACGGAGAAGTGCAGAAGACAGACAGAGAGCCAGCAAAGCCTGCTGGCACCACGGCCGCCCCAGGGACCCGACAAAGCGGGTCCCGAGACAAGCGCGGGCCGCAAGCAGGGCAAGAAAAAACTGGCATGGTTTCGCCTCGGCGAGCGCCGGTGTGGGGCGGCGACTTGGCAAGTTCTCTTCGTAGCGCCCACTATGGCCGCCGCCCCTCACGGATTGACCCTCGGCTCGGCCGTGCAACACGAGACAAACACGAAACGCGGGACTGCCGACTATAGAACGACGGAGAGCTCACGCCCATACAACTTCACACCCAGGGCAAGCAGCGAACCCCATGAGGGTGCAGCCCTGGGGTGCCTGACGCGCGTGCCAAACATGCAGCGCACGACACTCTCGCGCGCACACACACACACACTCACACAGAAGCACTAATCGGGCCGAGTGCCTTCATCGCCCACATGTTCCTCAATGCCGAGCGATCTTCTCGCCGTGGCGAGCAAAACCCGCGCCTGTTCCTGCACCCCTCTCCCCCCTTGCTCCGCAGACAGACGGGGGCAAGCGACGGGGGCAACGTGTTCTTCCCGATCCTCCGAGGGCGGCGAGGGGAGGCTCACACGGAGCGGGGTCACCTCCCCCGCCTCCTCCAAGTCATGAAAAATAGTGCTGCCTCTTCGTCAGCGGCTCACGAGTCCTCGGGCGACACGGCGCCATGGCCGCGCGGCACCTTGAGAGAGCGTTCCACCTCCTCCGCGGGAGGTGGAGGAGGAAGAAGACGAGGCCGAGGAGGAGGCCGAGGAGAAGGAAAAGTGGAAGAGAAAGGGGTGGGTGCGAGCCTGCTCGTCCGCGAGGACCGCAGCCATGCGATTCTTGAGCCTCGCTGGGGGAGGAAGGGGTCGGCAAAATCACAGGGAAAGAGGGGGGGACGACCGCGGCGACGGCGGCGACGATGACGCCTCCAATCCCTCGAAGTCCCAGGAGGCCCAGGAAGGGCTAGAATCCCACGACGACGGCGACGACGACCACGACGAACGCGCCGACGCCGACGCTGACGACGAAGACGACAACGATGGCGGCGGTAGCGGGTGTGGCGACGGCAGCGGCAGAGAGCGACGAGCGACAAGGACAGCGGCGACGACGACGACGACGACGGACATACGTCGTCCTCCGCCTCCGGTCTCTGGAGGTCCCCCTCGGACAAGCGATGAGGGCGAATAGCCCAGGGGCGAGCGTTACACTGTTTGGGGCTTGGCAAAAACAACACTATGTCGGGCGCCGGAGTGGGGGGGCGCGAGGACTTGAACAGGCGCGCGGCGCCAACATTCGACTCGTGCGGAGACGGCGCATCGAATGTTGCGGTCGTACCGGCTCTAAGCAGACGCATTGGCGCGCGGCGCGAGCCCTGTTCAACGACTGACGTCTACCCCTGGCCAAGAAGGCCAGCAGTGAGAAATGGGTACTGGCACGCACTGCGGCGCGGACTTGACTACCTACCAGAAGACCCCAACTCAACCCGAAGACCCGACTTTGAGCCGAATTTCGGGTTGGGGGGGGTGCGGGTTCAATGTGTTTTTTCAACGCTCCCCGACCCCCCCCCCACCACTGGAAATGGAAGGCAAATCGAGGCCTTCGGGCTGGGTTGGGGCGGCTTGGTGGGTGGTGAGGACTGGCGAGCCGTGCGGAAGACTGCGGCGTCGGGAGACTCTAGCCGGGGGGCGGCGAAGCGTCGCGGCATCTGCCTTAGAGAAGGCAAGAGGGACCGCGGGAGCATCGCAATCGCAGGGCACGTCGCCAGCGGACCACGGGGGCGCTCCTTTTTCTCCCAGAGCACAGAGTGGATAGATGTAACGACAACGGCTCCCAACTTCGCGCTTCGCGCTGCGAGAAGCGCGAAGTGCGAATAACTTCGCGCTCTCGCGCCGCCTCCCAGGGGAGAAGAGGAGAATGAGGAGGAATCGGAGCCGAACCGCGAAGCGCGAAGCGCGAATAACTTCGACCCCTCGAGGGCGCCCTTGTAACGAAAACTCACTCCATGTAACCCCGACTGAATACATGTAACCAAACACGAACGCATGCAATCGAACGACAACTTGAAACCCTGTGGAGACCGCGGATCACCGGTACAAGTAGGCGAAACATAATACATGCTTTCGTTTCAACTGCGCCTGGCGCGTTCCTGCCTCCGCGGCGCCCCGCCTCGCGCGGGGCCCGCCGGGACAAGGTGACTCCGCGGCCACTCGGGCATCGCTTCTCCTCCAACATAGTACAACTGGGGAGAAACTGCGCTGCCCCGCCGTCCCCGGCTGCCATCTCTTGGCGCGGCGCCACCCGCAACCCGCAAAACGCGACACCGCGCTCGCCGCAGTGGACGCCCCCATCTCCGTGCCGCAACGGACACCGCAATCAAAGACAGCGTGCGTCACGAATGATATCGGATTCATTCCGCGCGCCGCCGCATCTGGTCAGCGCCGTCGCTAACCTGGCATTCGATGCGCCATCTCCGCGCCAATCCAAGGCTTGCGCCGCGCGCCTGCCCAGAACACCAGCCCCCCCCCACTCCGGCGCCCGAAATAATGCTGCTTTTGCCAAGCCCCGAACAGAGTAACGCTCGCCCCTGGGCTATCCACCCTGCTCGTTTCCTCCGATCCCCGATGCCCGAGAAGGGCCAGAACCCCACCACGACGACGACCACGTCAATCACGACGAAAACGACACTGACGACGTCGGGCCCCTCGAACACCCAACACGGCCGAGAAGGTCCAGAACGCAACAACGGCGAAGACGACCGCGACGGCGACGACGACGACAACGACGACGATGACGACGACGACGACGACGACGACGACAACGACGACGACGACGACGACGACCGACGACGCCTCCAGTCCCTCGGACCCACAGAGGACCCGAGAAGGGCCATAAACCGACCACGACGAAGACGAGGACTCCAACGCTGACGACGAAGTGCACGGCGACGGCGGCAGCGGCAAAGGCGGGGGCGGGGGCGGCGAGCCACGAGCGACGGCGGCGGCGCGAAGGGCGGCCGCGGCGAGCGACGGCGGCGGCCGCGGCGAGCGACGAGCGGCGAAGAGCAGCTGCGAGCGCCGAGTGGCGGCGAGCGGCGACGGCGGCGAGCGACGGGCACCGGCGGCGCGGAGGGCCTGGCGATCCTCCCGGCGTTGGCGCGAGACCGCGCCAGCGCCTCCAGCGCGGACTGCTCTGCCGCCCTGGACCTCGTCGCCGCCGCAATCGCCGTCGTCAACGTCATCACCGTAGTCGACCGCGTGCCACGGTCGTCGCCACCACCGCCGTCGTGGTCGTAATCGACTCCGTCACCATTGTCGTCGCTGTTGAAGCCGGTGCCGTCACCGTCGCCGTTTTCGTCGTCGTCGCCTTCGCCGACCGATTGTCGTCGTCGTCATTGTCGCTGCCATTGTCGCCGTCGTCGTCGCCAGTCATCATTGTCGTCGCAGCCGGCGCCGTCGACAGGCCTATGCAGAGAAACAACCATTCCCCGGAAACCGGGAACGACGTCCAATCCTCTGAAGCGTCCCGCAGTGTCGTTGTATCAATAGAGGTCGTGAAGTGGCCAGAGCCTGTGCAGAGACTCATGGGCCCTCTGAAGAGCTCTTTGGCGCTCTGACTGACAACTATATTGGGCTCCTGGGAAACAAACTCTACACACATTGGCAAAACATCTTGGGCCATCGGATCAAGCCTGTCTGGCACTCTCGGAAAGGGTTCCAAGGAGCCTTTCTCGGACACCTGATTACGAGGGATACTGGAGCCCTCTGAAACCTCCTTGGGCACTCCAGGGACGCAGTTGTTGTACCGTCAGACGACGCCCTCAGAAGAGGGCTCGTGAACTCTCCGAAAAAGTTGTCTTGGCCGTCCCGATCAACTCCCAGCACCACTCAAAAAGCTATCTGGGCCCTCTTGACAGCCTGCCTTGCCTTTCAAGGAAAATATATCGGGCCTTGTTTGAAAGCGTACTGGGCCTTGGAAGGAGGCTGACGTCTTGCGGCTCTGTGGGAGGGCCTCTTGAACCCCCTGAGGAGGCAACTTTGGCCCTCTCACGAAGCCTCTCATGCCTTCTGAAGCCACTAGGGCCCTCTAACGAGCTTGGCCTAAGTGAGGGGGCGGTGACCTTCCTTCTACTGCGAAAATGACGCGCCTGGGTTGCAAAGAAAACTAATTATCCCAGTGCGACCCTACCTAGGAGTTGGAGCATCTAGGAAAGCAACATCTACATCTACACCGACAGCTACATTAACATCTACACCTGCATCTACATCTACATCAACATCAACAGCGAGACTCACATCTACATCTACATCTGCACCTTCATCTACACCTACATATACATCTACATCTACATCTACACCTACATCCACATCTACACCTACATCTACATCTACATCTACAATTTCGCATTGGTTTTGTTTTTGATTTGCCCTGCCTTGCCTTTGCTTTTGCTGTGCTGCGCTATGCTATGCTATGCTATGCTATGATGCGCTGTAATTTGCTATGCTATACTATGCTATGCTATGATGCGCTATGATATGCTATGATATGCTGCGCTATGGTATGCTATGTTATGATATGTTATGATATGATATGCGAATATATGATGCGCTGTGCTATGTTAAGCTAATATATACTATGGTATGATATGTTATGCTATGCTGCGCTATGCTATGTTATACTATGATATGCTATGATATGCTGTGCTGCGCTATGCTATGCTGCGCTATGCTATGCTATGCTATGGTATGCTATGGTATGCTATGCTAATGCTGAGCTGCGCTAAGCTAAGCTGAGCTAAGCTAGGCTAGGCTCAGCTAAGCTAAGCTAAGCGAAGCTAAGCTAAGCCAAGCTAAGTTAAGCTAGGCTAAGCTAAGATGAGATAAGCAACGCTAAGCTAAGGGGACGTACCTGGGGGCGCCGCGCGGCGGATGCCGGGGGAACCGCCCGGGGCGTTTAGCACTGCCCGGCCCCTTTAAGCCAAGAGGGTAAGAACCCTTCTGGCAGAGCCTAGGTAGGGAATATTGAATTGCGCGTATTCGGTAACGTGCTGAATCTTGCTCTGTTTGCGATGAGCTGGTTACGACTACCAGTGGGCGCGTAGATCATTCAGTGCGACCATCAAGGCAATGCGCCGAAAGCGCGCCTGGCCCATTTTGACTTATCGTTCGTTGCGAGTTCAAGGTGCCAGCCGCGGACCAACAACTGTCGTGACGGACGCTACCCAGGCAATGGCGAAACGCCTGCCATCTACAACACCCGACTCCTGCGTGGACGCGCAAGATCTGGTTCAGGTGGCCGTATGGGCCATAAATTCGGCGCGGTCCGCTTTAGGAGCCAATGTGACAGCAAGGTTTGCGCGCGCCTCCACGAGGCACCTTCGGAAGGTCGCGGGTACTGGCAGACTTGGAGCGGACAGCCAGCGCTCCAGTAGGCAACGCGCAGTTGGTAACACACGTGATGAGTACAAGTGTATACACATGCACATATACATTGACACGAGTGGGGCCAATGTTTTGCCGAGTATGGGCTCTTTGCACAACGCTGGCAACAACCCAGTGCAGCTGGCCATGATGCCCCTGCTTGCCCTGGGGGGGGTGGGCTGCTGAGCTCGCGGACACGTTTCCCAGCACGGCGCGCGCCATGGACCGCAACAAGACATAGCCTCTCTCGGTCAAGCTGCTCGCAGGCAGGGTTGTTGGGGTGAGCCATAAACACATGGAGAATCATCTTTGTCTGTACCATCGCAATTTATTCGAACTATATCCGCAGATCTGGCGTGCAAGTCTAAAAGGGGAAGGGGTGACAGGGGTGGCTCTGCCAGGGTAGGGGGGGAGGGGGTCCAATGGCGCGATTTCTGGTCGCGTGGGGGGAAGGGAGATCCAATCCCCCGTCCCGCCTGTGGAAAAGGGGAATTGGGGGAAGAACTTGGGGGGGGTCCAGTGGCCGGGGTGGCTTTGCCAGAGTAGGGGTATACGGGGAGGGGGGGGGTCCGGTGGCGTGGGTTCCGGCGGCGTGAGTTCCGGTGGCGCTTGGGGGGGGTCGGATCCCGGGTCCCGACTGCGGACAGGGGGAATTGGGGGAAGAAGGGGGGGGGGTCCGGTGGCCGAGGTGGCTCTGCCGGGGTAGGGATAGGGGGCGGGGGGGTCTGGCGGCGTGGGTTCCGATGGCGTGGGGGCGGGGAAGAGGGGGTTCAATGGCGTGTGAGTTTGAAGGAGCCTCAGCTACAGCCTCGAGGCTGCGCTTCAGCCTCTGGGGGGGTCGCCCGGGTGGCTCTGCTGGTGAAGGGGGGCAAAGGGTGTGTGCGCGCGTGCACGGGGTAATTGCTGTCCGTGCACGCGAGAAGGGAATCGCGGACAGAGAAAAGAGAAAGAGAGAAGTGGAACGGGACAAGAGCGGAAAACGGGGAACAAATGGGGGGAGACGAAGGTGGCGGTGAAATGCGCGTCTGTTGTGTGGTGTGTGTGTGTGCTTGTGCGGCGTGCGTGGTGTGTGTATGTGCGTGTTGCCGGTGTGTGCGCGTGCATGTGCCTGCGAAGGTGGCGCGCGCGTGTGTGAATGTGGTGTGTGTGTGTGTCTGTGGGTATGTGTAGTGAATGTGTGAGTGCGTGTGTGTGTGTGCGCGTGTGCGCGTAATGTCTGCGAGCGTGTGCGTGCGTGTCTGTCGGGGAAATGCCGCCGCCCAATCTGGGGGGCACACCAAGCGACCCGGATCCGCGGGACTGGCCGAAGGCCACTACAATAACTTGTAGGTGCCACTGCCTCTTACTTCTATGGCCACAGCACCACGCACCATTACAGCCGTTGGATCTGGCTCTCTTTCCACTGCAGCAATCCGTAGCGACACGAATGCCATCATCGTAGTGGTGACAAACACAGCTCTTCGGTTCACTCCCCGTCCGCGAGGAATGCAGCATGTGATATAGCGACATTCACCTACGAATACTGTGCGATCGAAATGTAACCTTCCACAACGTGCTGGAGAGTCCGATCCCATACCTCACCTCGGGATTGATTCCAAACTTACTCCTTGAGGTTGAACAAAATGGCCGGGGATTGAACACCTTGCGGCATTCGGGCAACTCCGAAGACTGTGGGCGGAGGGCGATGCCGTTCATCGTCGCCGTCATCGGCCGCTCGCGGTTGTCGTCGACCACTGGCCTTCACCATCGTTTTCGTCGCCGCCGTTGCCGTCGTCTTTGTCGCAGTCGTCGTCGTCGTCAACGTGAAGTCGCCGCCATCGCCGTCGTCTCCGTCTTGCTTGTCGCCGCCGTCCTGATCGTCAAGGTCGTCGTGATCGAAATCATCATGGTCGTAGCCATGGCTTCAACCGTCAACGACAACAGCCTGGAGTATGTCTAGAAGCTGAAAATACCATCCGATGAGTCCGTAGCAACACCCAATGTCCGCTATGTCGAACAAGCAGTGCCATGCGAATACAACAGATATCTATACCCTCAAGCGAGATGCGCAGAACACGAATGGCATCCAAACTCGACGGCGCAACAGTACGCGTCATGCGAGACATGGGTAGCAAGACGTGTGGACCCGAGATGTGGCGTCTGGAGTAGGGGGAAAGTGAAGGTGGGGCAGGGGCGTAGGTGAGGTTTCACGGAGGTCGAGGGAGAAGATGGGGAGGAGGAAAGGAGGGAGGGAGAGGGAGGGGAGGGGAGGGGAAAGAGGCAGAGGAGCGGGAGGCAGGAAACGAAACAGCAGCAAAAGCAGAACGCAAGTGGGAGGGCGGGCAGAGAGAGGGTGGCCTGTCTAACGAGGCGCGCGCCGTCTCCCGCGCCTCGTGTGCGGCAGGCTCCCCCCATGCCCCTCCCCCCCAAAAAAAAAGAAACACACACAAGCATTCCCGTCGTCTCATTACCTCTGGTTCAACTGTCGTTGGTTTCTCTCGTTCTAGCTCTCTCTCTCTCTCTCTCTCTCTCTCTCTCTCTCCCCCCCTCTCTCTCTCGTGCGTTTTCTGTGTCCCAATGTCCCTCTCCCTCTCTCTCTCCCTCTCTGCTTCTCTCTCTCTCTCTCTCTCTCTCTCTCTCTCTCTCTCTCTCTCATTTCCTCTACGTAAGATGACGACGAAAGGCCAGGGGTAGGATGAAGAAGAGGATGGTGACGATGTTTCTGTCGTCTGACGATGATGGCGATGACGAGGATGATGATGATGATGATGATGATGATGATGATGCTGCTGCTGCTGATGATTTTGATGATGATGGTGATGATGGTGGCGTTGATGATGCTGATGGTGATGATGATGACGATGATGGTGATGGTGGTAAGGACAATGATACTGATGATGATGATGCTGATGATGATGGTGGTGATAGTGATGATGCTGCTGATGGTGACGATGACGATGACGATGACGGTGCTGATGATGATGATCATGATCATGATCATGATCATGATCATGATGATGATGATGATGATGATGATGATGATGATGATGGTGATGGTGATAGTGATGATGCTGATGCTGATGCTGATGCTGACGATGATGCTGCCACGGAGTAGGACAATGCAGAGAACGAGGAGATTAAGGAGCGGGAACTAGGATGTGAAGAAACAACAATCGGCATAGGAGAAGGATCAGAAGGAGGAGAGGGACCAGGAGGAATGTGGTGAGAAGGTATGGAATGAAGGAGGGACGAGTCAGTGGAGGAGCAGAAGGAGGGGTACGAGGGGAGGGCAGGATGGAGGAATGTGAGGGGGATGAGCGAGCAGTATGACGTATGATGATGGGGTTGGTGACGGTGCGTAGCAGGAGGAATAGGGGGAGGCACATATGACATCCTTGGATATTCAAAAAATACAGAAAATGAAGGTGCAAAACAACATGGAAATCAAAAGGGCTTCATTCATCCCGCTCCGCAATCCTCCCGCCTTCCTTCCCCCCACCCGCACCTCTCACCTCCCCCATTATCCCCTCTCCCATTCTGCCTCGTCCCTCCCTGCCTCCTTCCTCCTCCTCATGTCCTCCCTCTGTCCTCTATCCGCTCCACTACCTCCCCCTGGGCAGACTCGCCTGCCTCCTCATGCCCCATGTGCATCGTCGTTATTCCTTTTCACCTCCCTCCCACATCCCTCTCTCCCCCAACTCCTCCTTCCTCCATCCATGCCTCCCTCGGCATCTTCCTACTGCTGGTTCTCGTCTTCTGCGTCGACGCCGCCGCCGCCTTCATCCCCCTGCTCATCCTCCTCTTCCTCCTCCCCCTCCTCCTCCTCCTCCTCCTCCTCCTCCTCCTCCTCCTCATCCTCTCCCTTCTCCTCCTCCTCCTCATCATCATCATTATCAGCAGCATCACCATCATCATCCTCAGCAGCATCATCATCAGCATCAACTGCATCATCATCATCATCATCATCATCATCATCATCATCATCATCATCACCACCACCACCATCATCATCATAATAATCATCATTATAATCATCATCAGCATCATCATCAGCAGCAGCAGCATCATCGTCATCGTCATCAACATCGTCATCGTCACTGTCATCGTCAGCAGAATCATGACCATCACCATCACCATCACCATCCATCCTCATCATCAGCAGCAACTGCAGCAACATAATCCTCAGCATCAGCCTCATCATCATCATCAGCATCATCATAAGCATCAGCATCATCTCACCATCATCCTCATCAGCATCATCAGCAGCGACATCAGCACCACCAGCATCATCAGAATCGTCATCCTCATCATCATCATCATCATCATCATCATCAGCATCACCATCAGCAGCAGCATCGTCATCGTCATCGACAGCACCACCATCATCATCGGTACCACCACCACCGCCATCAGCAGCAGCATCAGCATCATCATCATCATGAGCAGCAGTATCAGCAACAGCAGTCTCATCAGCAGCAGCAGCGTCACCATGGTCATCATCAGCATCATCAGCATCATCAGCATCAGCATCAGCATCTGCATCAGCATCATCATCATCAGCATCATCAGCATCATCATCAGCATCACCATCAGCAGCACCACCATCATTCTCATCATCATCAGCACCACCACCACCACCACCATCATCATCATCAGCATCATCACAAGGATCAGCATCACCATCATCACCATCATCACCATCACCAGCATCATCATCACCTTCTTCATCACCATCATGATCAGCATCATCAGAATCATCATCCTCCTCTTCATCAACATCATCATCATCATCATCATAATCATCATCATCATCAGCATCAGCTTCATCATCACCATCATCATCATCTTGATCATCGTCATCTCAATCATCATCATGTACATCATAACCGTCATCATCATCCTCATAATCATCATCACAATCATCACGCATCATCCAAAATCATCATCAGCATCGACATCGTCATCATTGACATCATTGTCATCACCGTCACCACCAGCACAATCATCATCGTCATCACCGCCATCAGCAATATTATAAACATAACCATTGAAACAATCAGAACAATCATCGTCATCAACAACAGCATAACCATCATCATCATCATCATCATCATCATCAGTATTATCATCAGCAGCATCATTGTCATCACCAGCATAATCAGCATCGTCGTCATCGTCATCATCATCCCAAACACCATCAGCATCCTCATAATAATTGTCATCACCAGCATCAGCATCATCATCATCATCAGTCTCACCAGCATCAGTATCAACAACATCATCATCACCGTCATCTTGATAAGCATCATCAGCATCAGCAGAACCACCCACACCTATTTTTGATTGTCTGGGGGGGGGCGATCAACACGCAATGGAGGCCCCAGTGGAGGAACAAGTCCAGGATTGAAACAAGAAAAGATCCGCCAGGGAACTGGGATCGTCCAGGTCGGGCAGCAAAAGCCGCCGCCGCTGAAGATCAGTGCCGCCTCGGTGACCAGAATTGCACGCGCGGTGCCGCCTCCAAGTACCATCTTGTGGGCTCTTGATACATTGGCGCTAATCGACGCCACATGGACGCTATTCCACACCAATCGACGCCAGTCGACGCTACATCAGCGCTATCTCCGCGACTACCAAAACGCGAGTCGACAGCTGTGCACTCTAAAGAAAGAATTTCCCCCTTTCGGTTCCTCACCCGTGCTTTTCTGTTCGCCGCCCCAAGGGGGCCCCAAGTGGCGCCCACGATACCCCAACAGACGCGAAAGGCCTCCACCAAGAGGCTCCCAACACACCCCCAAGACGCCTCAAGAGGACACCCGAAGACCCCTGGGCACCTCGCCTGGGCATCGTTTCTGAATGGGCTGCTAGGGTCACTTGTTGGTCAACAGGCTCGCGAGGCGGGCCGAAAACCGCCCGAACACTAGTGGGGCCGCGACTAGACAACAGGGCAAGAAAGGCAAGCGAAGCAAGCGAACGGGCAGCCACTCTACTCCCAAACCCGGTGGCGTGGAAATTAGGCAGCCAGAACGGCGCGGCGGCGCGACCATTAACACGCAGAGGTCGATGGCTCGGTATGATTCAGACAAACAGCACCGTCAGAGACGAACTAGGCCGACGGGCACACCCGGACGACATCCGTGCCGTAGGCGACACACATCGTGCCGGCGCAAGAGTGAAGAGGGGCAACCTCACCACGGACAAGACTGCAAACGGCAGCAAAACCAGCAACACTCGTCGAAAGCGAAGTCCATGCAGGAAAACGTCGGCCAACGAGCGTACAGAGCCACACTTGCCGAACCCGAGGTCCAGGTACCGCAAGGTAGGCAGTGTAGCGAGAGACCCTCTGGAACCTCCCGGTCATCAGTAGGGGCCGACGCCAGCCAAGAGCAGGCCAGGGGGCACCTGACCTCAGCAAGTGCGACCTGTGTGAATCCTTGCATAAATTCCAGACCACTTGAACGCCGGCTGGTGGGGTTACTTATCTTCGGTCGCGTCCACCAGCGAAGGCGCTAGCGGAGTCAGGAGCGTTACGGGGCACGTAAGCGGCCGAATTAGCAACTAAACGCGCCGCAGGCCGGCCGGCCCACTCACCAAGCAGCGGCTGACTGCGCGGGGAAGACGGCGAGCTGAGGGCGTCCAGGGAAGCTCGGGCACTTGCAGCCCAGCAAAATGCTGGAAAATTAAAGTTGTGCCGTGAGGCAAGACCCACACGAAGCACGAGGACGAGCGCGGCAGACTGCGCGTCCAACATGCCGTCTGGGCGATCAGGGGTGGTAAGCGATGAGCGAGTCGCCAGTGGGGCGCCAACGTGTGCGAGCCAGCTGAGCTGCTCCGCCGAGGAACGTCGAAAATCAGCCTGGAGGGAGGGACAGGCCCGGGGGAGCGGCCGCGGCTGCGAAGGCTGAACCACTCGAAGCGGCCCGAACTCCAGGGGCCATCATCCCGCGCACCACGGGGAAGGCCCCGAGACTCCAGGGGGCCGACCCTACCATCAGCTGCGCGAACGCCGGCTGATGCACTGTGTGAGGCCATTCCCCGCGGTGATCCAGGGTCGCAGCTAACCGCCGCTATGAGTGAGCTTACGTTACCGCCATCAGCGCGGGGCCCTGGTCAGCCCTGGGGGGGCGAGGGGACGATCACCCCCTCGACCCAGGGGTCTGCGAGCCTCGCAGCTGCCCAGCCCGGGGAGGGGCGGCGGGGACAGACATCACCGGCCCTCCACGCCGGGGGGCCCCCCAGGGACACCTGGCGAGAGAGGGGGACATAAAGCACGTCCACCTCGCGCTCTGGGGGCAAGTGAACCCGGCAGCAGCCCCGCCCAGGAGGGGCCCGAGGAGAGGGGCGGCGGGGACAGACATCACCGACCCCCCACACGGATCCCAGGGGGGGCCTGGCGGGGCATGGGCGCCGAACCAGGGCCCGAGCTCCAGGGAGGCAGCGAACGGCTGCTCAGGGTCCGCTGCGCTCGTCCAGGGCGGCCTTCGGCCGCTTCCGCTTCGATGTCCATGGGAAGGCCGGGGCGACGGCCGGCTGCCGCTTGAGGTTAGAGCTGCCGAGGCCCGGGTATGAGAATCAAGTGCACGACAGCCGCCCGCGTGAATACGGAAGGGCGGCCACCGTCGGGCTGTCTTACCCGTCGCATCTGCCACTCCCCGCGTGGATCCAGGGTCGCAGCTAACCGCCGCTATGAGTGAGGTAATTACCGCTGTCAGCGCAGGGCCCTGGTCAGCTCTGAGATGGGGGGGCGATCGCCCCCGCGATCCAGGGGTCTGCGAGCCCGGCAGCCTGCCCAGCCCGGGAGAGACCCGAGGGGAAGGGCGGCGGGGACAGACATCACCGGCCCTCCACGCCGAGGGGCTCCCCAGGGACACCTGGCGAGCGAGGGGGGCAAAGAGAACGACCACCTCGCGCTCCAGGGGCACGCGAACCCGGCAGCCGGCCCAGCCCAGGATGGGACCCGAGGGGGGGGGCGGCGGGAAGAGACATCACCGACCCTCCACACGGATCCCAGGGGGACCTGGCGAAGGGGCAAGGGCGCCGAAGCCGGGCCCGAACTCCAGGGATGCAGCCTGCCAGCTGCTGCTCAGGGTCCGCTTTCACTCGTCCAAGGAAGCCTTCGGCCTCTCCCGCTTCGGCGCCCCAGGGAAGACCAGGGCGGCGGCCGACTGCCGTCTGAGGTGCTGTCGGCATCAGTCCCCGGGAGTACGACAGCAGTCCGTGTGAGAGACAGATGGGCGCGCCAGCCACCTGCATGAAGTACGGAGGGGCGGTCACCGTCGAGGCACTGCCTTACTCGACGTATCTGCCATTCCTCGCGGGGATCCAGGGTCGCAGCTAACCGCCGCTATGAGCGGGGTAATTACCGGCGTCAGCGCGGGGCCCGGGGCTCCCCAGGGACACCTGGCGAGCGAGGGAGACACAGAGAACGGGCACCTCGCGAACCAGGGGCACGTGGACCCGGCAGCCTGCCCAGCCCAGGAGGGGCCCGAGGAGGGGGGCGGCGGGGACAGACATCACCGACCCTCCACACGGAGAGGCCCCCAGGGAGCCCAGGCGAGGGGGCAAGGGCGCCGAAGCCAGGGCCCGAACTCCAGGGATGCAGCTTACGGCTGCTCAGGGTACGCTTCACTCGTCCAAGGTGGCCTTCGGCCTCTTCCGCTTCGACGTCCAAGGGAAGGCCAGGGTGACGGCCAGCTGCCGTCTGAGGCGCAGTCGGCATCTGTTCCCGGGAGTACGACAGCAGCCCGCATGAGAGACGCGTGGGCGGTCCTCGTCAGGGCTATGTCTCGTGCCCGTAGTCTGCTACTCCCCGCGTGGATCCAGGGTCGCGGCTAACCGCCGCTCTGGGCTGAGCGAGGACGGCGCGTCCATGGAGGGGGCGATCAAGGGGCAGAGCACCCCCGGGGTGGACGCAGCCTGCTACGGGTCTGTTGCCCCGGGGGGGCGCACCTGCTGCAACGAGAGGGTAGCCCCCCACCGCTGTCACGCCTCTCCGTTCAGAGCGCACGACTGCAACGGCACGGGGCTGATTTCTCTTGCTTCCAGGGTGGCCGCGGCCCCTACAGCCACGAGTCCGATGCGCTGCCCGTCCGGGAGCAGGCGGGGGCCGCCTCTGAGCACGGGCCTGCCCTCTGCGGCACTCGGGCACGGGCGCCGGGATGCAAGAGCGCCCTGAGCCCCCGCGGAGCCCCCCCCGCAGGGGGGGCCACGGAACCGGCACCCAGGGATACGGCCGCTGGCCCAGAGCTCGCGGTCACCGTCGGGGCGCTGACTTGCCCGTCGCATCTGCAATTCCCCGCGGGGATCCAGGGTCGCAGCTAACCGCAGTCATCGCGGGGCCCCGGTCAGCCCTGAGAGCAGGGGGATGATCACCCCCGCGTTCCAGGGGTCTGCGAGCCCGGCAGACTGCCCAGCCCGGGAGAGACCCGAGGGGAGGCGCGGCGGGGGCGGACATTACCGGCCCACCACGCGGAGGGGCCCCCCAGGGACACCTGACGAGGGAGGGGGGGCAAAGAGAACGGCCACCTCGCGATCCAGGGGCATGTGAACCCGGCGGCCTGCCCAGCCCAGGAGGGGCCCGAGGAGGGGGGCGGCGGGGACAGACATCACCGACCCTCCACACGGAGAGGCCCCCAGGGAGCCCAGGCGAGGGGGCAAGGGCGCCGAGGCTAGGGCCCGAACTCCAGGGATGCAGCTAACGGCTGCTCAGGGTACGCTTCACTCGTCCAGGGTGGCCTTCGGCCTGTTCTGCTTCGACGTCCAAGGGAAGGCCAGGGTGGCGGCCAGCTGCCGTCTGAGGCGCTGTCGGCATCTGTTCCCGGGAGTACGACAGCAGTCCGTATGAGAGACGTCTGGGCGGTCCTCGTCAGGGCTATGTCTCGTGCCCGTAGTCTGCCACCCCCCGCGTGGATCCAGGGTCGCGGCTAACCGCCGCTTTGGGCTGAGCGAGGACGGTGCGCCCATGGAGGGGGCGACCAAAGGGCAGAGCACCCCCAGGGTGGACACGGCCTGCTATGGGCATGTTGCCCAGGGGGGCCGCGCCTGCTGCAACGAGAGGGTAGCCTCCCACCGCTGTCACGCCTCTCCATTCAGAGTGCACGACTGCAACGGCACGGGGCTGATTTCTCTTGCTTCCAGGGCGGCCGCGGCCCCTGCAGCCGCGAGTCCGATGCGCTGCCCGTCCAGGAGCAGGCGGGAGCCGCCTCTGAGCACGGGCCCGCCCTCTGCGGCACTCGGGCACGGGCACCGGGATGCAAGAGTGCCCTGGGCCCCCGCGGAGCCCCCCCCGCAGGGGGGGCCACGGAACCGGCACCCAGGGATACGGCCGCTGGCCCAGAGCTCGTGGTCACCGTCGTGGCACTGACTTGCCCGTCGTATCTGCCATTCCCCGTGGGGAACCGCCGCTATGGTTGAGGTAGGGCAGAGTAGATCCAGGGTCGCAGCTAACCGCTGCCCAGCGTTGAGACAAGAGAGCGGGGCGAGCCCAGGGGAGGCGAAGCCTGCAATGGGTCAGATGCAACAGGTATACCAACGGCCCGCCCGCGGTGCAAGCCACGCGGCGGCAGCCAGCGCGCCGGGGAATCCAGGGACGCAGCTAAGGCTGCTCAGGGATTGTTGGTCAGGGGGCCGCACCTTGGCAACGCGGGCGGCCAGCCGCTGACAGCTGCCTCGTCGCTCCAATACGGTGTACGACTGCAACGGCACGGAGCTGACTTCCTTTGCCACGCGGCCGCCCTGTCCCAGGGACCGGAAAGACCTTCGCTGCCAGCGCGGTGCCACGACGGGGTGCAGCTACGGCTGCTATGAGTTTTGTGGCCTCAGTACACAAGGGGGCCTCGGTACACCGGGGTTGCGGCAGACGGCCGCCTGGGACGAGGTACACGCCTGCACCCCGTGCGAGTGCTGTTGGACGTCCTCGAGGCTGGGGTCACACGCCGGATGGGCCCTCCGGATGTTTTGGACGCAAGCCCGCGTCGCCCACTCCAAGGCCCGGGCACTGAGATGCAAGAGTGCCTTGAGGTCTCGGAGACCGGGCATCAGGGAGCAAGGGTACCTCCTCCTGACCCGCTCCGCCTCCTTCTACACCCGTCGCATCTGCCATTCCCCGCGGGGATCCAGGGTCGCGGCTAGCGGCCAATTTGAATTGCAGTATCATTATCGCCGTCAGCGCTGGGTCCTGGTCAACCCCGTGAGTGGGGAGGGAGGGCCGTTCGGGGGGGATCGGGATCTGGGCAGGGTCCGGGGGGGGGCATGGCAGGATCCAGGGTCTGGGCCCCCCGTTCCTGCACAGATTGGCCCCCTCCCCTTCGCCGCGGTCCAATCCGTCGATCTCCCCACCATCTATCGGCGCAGTCGAGGGTGGGCCGACTGCGGCCCGCTGAAGCTCGCGTTGCCTGGCGGCGCTGCTGCCGCGGTGGCCGACGCACCCGTGGTGACTGCGGGTCCGAGTTGATCCAGGGTCGCAGCTAACGGCCGCTCTGAATTGAGGTATCGTTGTGTCCGTCGGCACTGAATCCTGGTCTACCCCGAGTGGCGGGGTCTGCTGGGTTCCAGGGGTGCCCTGCTGCTGCTGCTGCAGCTGCTGCCGCTGCTGTT